CAAGAACGCGAGCGTTCACGGGCGGGTGTAAACGCTGTGGGCTGTTCACCCTGCTAGTTTGAACGCTTGAAGAACAAGCGTTCTTCATGTTCACACCCAGCGGAGAACAAGGACATAGGGTATACTAAAATAAATGGAAATGTATACAATTATGAATATTATGCAACCATAAGGATCGGTGGTACGGTAGTGTAATGATGGTAAACTAAAATAATTACCTCCGGTAGCAATAATTGTGATCTTAATAATAATTACCAGAGAATTAAATGCCAATACAAATATATATTACTCATATTCACCGCCACACAGGACAGTGAGGATGCTGCTCATATTCACTGTCACACAGGACAGTGAGGATGCTGCTCATATTCACTGTCACACAGGACAGTGAGGATGCTGCTCATATTCACCGCCACACAGGACAGTGAGGACACTGCACATATTCACCGCCACACAGGACAGTGAGGATGCTGCTCATATTCACTGCCACACAGGACAGTGAGGACACTGCACATATTCACCGCCACACAGGACAGTGAGGATGCTGCTCATATTCACTGCCACACAGGACAGTGAGGACACTGCACATATTCACCGCCACACAGGACAGTGAGGATGCTGCTCATATTCACTGCCACACAGGACAGTGAGGACACTGCACATATTCACCGCCACACAGGACAGTGAGGATGCTGCTCATATTCACCGCCACACAGGACAGTGAGGATGCTGTTCATATTCACCGCCACACAGGACAGTGAGGACACTGCACATATTCACCGCCACACAGGACAGTGAGGATGCTGCTCATATTCACTGCCACACAGGACAGTGAGGACACTGCACATATTCACCGCTACACAGGACACTGCACATATTCACCGCCACACAGGACAGGGCTATACGCCATGTAAGTGGTGGTAATTGAGCAGTTACCACTCACGCCTGTAAATAGTTCCCTTGTGACGGTAACAGCCACCTCGCCGCTCACAGTAACCCCTGTCATGGCTATTTATTTTTAACTTAAAACAGTAAAGTTAGTAAACTTTGTTTGAATATCAAGACCCACAGGAGGAGTTTACACAGTGTAACCAGGTTTACATAGTTATTGGATGTAAAACAAATAGCGTTTTAACAATGTTAAGATATGTTAATGCTTATTTATGATAGGTGTTTAAATACATCAACCTATCCTCCTGAAACCATAGCACTTCTTGTAACTATGTAGTCGATCGTACCAATATGCGGTAATGGAGCCCCAACTACTACGGCACTTTTTGTATAAATTTTTTTTATACAGTCCGGTAAAGTTAAAAACCAAATGTAAATATTCCTAGGCTTAGTAAAGCACATAAATGTATTATATTTATTTATTTAATTAATTATTTATTTATTTACAAGAAGGTACATTGGGTTTGTGAGAATACATAGCATAGTATTTACAATCTTGTAAAGCCACTAGTACGCGCAGCGTTTCGGGCAGGTCCTTAATCTAACAGATAAGGCCTCAGGTTAGCGTGCATTAAGCATACGATGGTTAGGCTAGGTTTTATTAGCAACATAAACATAAAACCTTTACCAGTTTGTCCAAATTCAATAATACGAAAGTCTACTTTCTGCGGTCCATCACAACCCGCAGGTGTTAGTAACCACATCATTACTATAAGTATTTTCATTTCCGGAGGCTGGGTTGATATATGCACAGAGATGGGGCTTAATTCTCTGTGTTCTTACGCCGACAGTTTACTCCTGCCTTATGCCCATAACTAAGGTATTTATTTATTTATTTATTTATTATTTATTTATATACAAAAAGGTACATTGGGTTTGTGTGAGTTTCATAACATTGTTGTTCTTACACTCTTGCAAAGCCACCAGCACGCATGATGCTTCGGGCAGAGCACCTGCGGGTTGGTCAGTAGTTCTCTAGCACCTACTAACTCTCGAAAGGTTGACGTTGGCTTTAAACCCAACAACAACAAATGCTTGTCGCTGGCAACTCCAGCATCGAATACGGTTTGTGTAAATACATCTTGTAAATGGTTCCATAGCACTTTGTTTACACAGGAGTGGACTGGAACAGAGAACCTGCTGTAGGGGGGTAGAAATAGCCTAAGCTACTCTATCCCTTTGAGATGTATTTTTTCTTGTCTCAATAAACGTACTTGAACTTGAGAACCTGCTGAAACCGGTTACTATACATCTTCCCACAGTCAGTCTTAAGTCTTAGGCTATTAGTATTCCATACTAATAAAAGCAAGGGTGCTGGAAGACGATCCAGACACCATACCAGGAGTCAAGGCAACAAAATCAGAAAGAATGGTATGAATTAATTTCACATATAAAAATTGAATGTTTATATAAAAATTTGTCCAGAAGGGAAAAGTTTTTTTTCTCATTTTACCCAAACTGACCTCTAGTTTGAACAATAAGATGAATGTTTATATTGTGATACTCTAGTGCTATTGGTGAGCGTAATTGTTCAGGCGTCGTGGGTCTGTATTTCAATAGTACAGTACGTCATAAGCCTGTATTCCAATAGTACAGTGCGTAATAGGCCTATATTTCAATAGTACAGTGCGTCATAGGCCTGTATTCCAATAGTACAGTGCGTCATAGGCCTGTATTCCAATATAATTGTACTTTGTATGCCTTTTTTCAGTTGTACAGTGCATCTTGGGGCCTGTATTGAACTTAACTCTAATCTTTGTGAAAGGTAATGGGTTGGTGTTTAGGTCATCATTGCTCTCTGGCTGGTGTTGACCTGATTCAACGTAGATTTGAGTTATTGGAGCCAGGAGCCACTGATTATTGAAGAATGTTTTGTTGTAAATAATTCATTATCACTGTAGTTTAGGCAAGAGGTAATTGGCGTTTTGTTTCTGAAAACTTTAGGTGCCTCTGTATCATTTGCACAGCCCATCCTGAGTCAACAAAGGGAAGGTGCTTGTTAATGTAGACGCCAACACCAATGTTTATGAAGGAAAAACGCTTTACGCTTTACTCCCAACTGATAACATTCGAACATTTCTCGAACGGTGCTTCGCTAACGACCTCCGTTCGAATTGCAACGCTATAAATGCTTCTCCCACGTACAACAAATACAAATAATTACCATCATAGTAAACACTAACCTAACCTGCACCTAAATGTACACTTATTATATAATTACATATGTATTCACCTAGTTGTGCTTGCGGGGGGGGGGGGGGGGTTGAGGTCAGGTCTTTCGGCCCGCCTCTTAACTGTCAACGATCATTTTCTTTTTTCACACACACACACACCAACCCGTTCTCGCAAATTCGTAAAGTCACTATTGACTTATTAACTACGTGCATAGGTGATATACTAAACATAATAGATACCCTTAAAAAGATTCATAGACAACACCGACCTTACCTAACCTTGTTAGTATCTTAAGATAAGCATCTTATTGCTTCGTAATTACAATTATTACTTAACCTATACCTATTATAGGTTAGGTAATAATTGTAATTACGAAGCAATAAGATGTTTATCTTAACATACTAAGTAGGTTAGGTAAGGTCGGTGTTTTCTATGAATCTTTTTAAGGGTATCTATTATGTTAAGTATGTCACCTATGCACATATTTAATAAGTCAATATTGACTTATTAAATTTGCGAGAACGGGTTGCACACACACACACACACACACTCACACAGGAAGCAGCACATAACAGCTGTCTAACTCCCAGGTACTTCCATTTATTGCTACTGGTCACAGGTCTCCCATTTATTGCTAGATAACATAGGTATCAGGGTGAATGAAAGAAACTCTGTCCATTTGTCTCCGCCATCGCCGGGGATCGAATCCCGGTCCTCAGGATTACAAGTCCTGAGTGCTGTCCACTCAGCAACCAAGCGCCCCTGGTAGCTGTGTGTTTGTGTGTGTGAATATATACTTTATAGAAAATTTTGAATCTAATAAGCCAAGTTGCCTAAGAAGACGAATTTTCCTGAAATATTATATTTTTCGAATATTTTTTTCTTGGAATGATACAGCTTTCCATTACATTAAATTTGTTATATACTTTGATTACAAAATAACAGAAATTTGATTAAAGTTGATCAAACCTAACCTATCCTAACCTGACATAACTAAGTTAGTAATTAATATTCCTAATATAATAGATTATAATTGTTAGAAAAGAACCAATCTGGAAAGAAATACTTGAAGACGAAAACATTTGGCCTGTTAGGTAAATCGGAAATTGCATTCCGAGCCAAGAAGTATGGTTCTGGCTATTAGTCACGACATATATATTCGAGAAAGTTCCTGTTTTGAATAATCAACATGTTAAAATTGATGAATGCGTCTTTGGGGTCGGCCGGTGGATGGAATGCCTCCGCATGAGGACAGGTTGAAATACAAATACTTCCCACCACAGACTAAATACCTATCCCAGCCTAATTTAGGCCTTAGTATACACCAAGTTGTAACATATAATAATAACGTTAATTTATGATAAAATAACGTTTTTTGAATTCCCAGAACGTTACAATATATGAATGCTTGGATGATTACTAGGTAGGTCCTTTTAAAGGGCACAACAGCTTTATTAAAGGGCTCAAAACTTCCTTCAGTTACTCGGCTTACGTTCTGCTTATCTGTCATTTGCATCCAGATATTTAAATCACAAAAGTTGATCGAAGTTTTCTGAGTATAATTTTCGGGAAAATCGATCAGCTGTCGTTCAAACCAGTGATGCTATCTCAAGAAATTGAGACATCCAGAATAAATTGGATTTCTGTCGCAGCTGTGCTTTTCAAGCTCAACTTTTACTGGCGTGTTTAGATTCATTTCAACTTTAAACTTTAAAGTTGACCCGTGGTATGGTTAAGTCACAGCATGTCTGTTCATATCATTCACCTCACTACAGTTATCCCACAAATAAATCAATATTTTCTAGTCAAGTGAAATGCTTGAAGCACTCAGTCAAAATTTGTTTTTTCTTGTAAAGATGAATTTTGATTTAAATTTAAGCTGTGTAATGTCTTGCAAGGATCTTATCACGAGAGAGCCAGCATTCTTCATGGGAAGAGAGAAGGCCTTCGTGTTCAGATCTCCTTTCTTCCCACAGCTTGAGAAACACTTTAATGTTCATTGATTTTGCCTTGATGAATTTCACGACTTGGATGACATATTTGAGCATTGGGTGGAACTCCGGCTGCTTCCTTGAACATTGGGTGGGGCTCTGGCTGCTTCCTTGAGCATTGGGTGGGGCTCTGGCTGCTTCCTTGAGCATTGGGTGGGGCTCTGGCTGCTTCCTTGAGCATTGGGTGGGGCTCTGGCTGCTTCCTTGAGCATTGGGTGGGGCTCCGGCTGCTTCCTTGAGCATTGGTTGGGGCTCTGGCTGCTTCCTTGAGCGTTGGGTGGGGCTCTGGCTGCTTCCTTGAGCATTGGGTGGGACTCTGGCTGCTTCCATGAACATTGGGTGGGGATCCGGCTGCTTCCTGGAGCATTGGGTGGGACTCTGGCTGCTTCCTTGAACATTGGGTGGGGCTCCGGCTGCTTCCTTGAGCATTGGTTGGGGCTCTGGCTGCTTCCTTGAGCATTGGGTGGGGCTCTGGCTGCTTCCTTGAGCGTTGGGTGGGACTCTGGCTGCTTCCTTGAGCATTGGGTGGGGCTCCGGCTGCTTCCTTGAGCATTGGTTGGGGCTCTGGCTGCTTCCTTGAACATTGGGTGGGGCTCCGGCTGCTTCCTTGAGCATTGGTTGGGGCTCTGGCTGCTTCCTTGAGCATTGGTTGGGGCTCTGGCTGCTTCCTTGAGCATTGGGTGGGGCTCTGGCTGCTTCCTTGAGCATTGAATGGGGCTCTGGTTGCATCCTTGAGCATTGGGTGGGGCTTTGACTGCTTCTTCCGTTTGCATGTTTACAAACCACATAGTTTCCGAGCCATTACTCCAAACAAAGGTTACATAATACTGAAAGCAAAGTCATTGTTTTGAAAAAGCAAATTACAATTTACCTCGTTAAAAAAAATTGTAAAAAAATTCAGCAACACTGAATACAACAGTATTATCAGGATTAAATAGCAAGAATCAAGGGCGTTAGCTTTGTAAATGCCCATTAAATAAAAAAAAGTACGTACAAACTCTTACGAACGTTATTAATACACTGGATAACAATTGAATTAAGTGTAATTAAAGTGTAATGTAATTAAAGTGAATTAAGTGTAATTAAATATTACACGATACAAGGCAGACACCACAGGCTGACCTCACGCTCAATTTGCACAGATTTGTTCATAGTTGGTCAGACACAATATATAATAGATTCCTCTACACTCAACTTAATAATTTTGATTCACCCATCAACTTCGATATATTTTTGTAAAGTGACCTACTGGGAAAGCCTTCATGGTCCGAGCCCGGGGATTGGTCCTGGGCTGTGTGGGCGGGTTACTGATTGTACACATTACGAGTACAGCGTCCACAAGCTGTTGATCTGTATGTGGTTTTGGGGAAGTTTGGCTACAGCTCTCACACTGATTACCATCACACCAGTCCTCTAAGAACAAATTAAACGATAATCTATCGACCTTTGATATATATAATTTATGTAGAGGATAGATCAACCCACACATTCGACGCGAAAGGGAAAAAATAAAACGTTTCGGTCTGTCTTGGACCCTTATGTGACAACGTTTCTGTCTGTCTTGGACCCCTATGTAACAACGTTTCTGTCTGTCTTGGACCCCTTATGTAACAACGTTTCTGTCTGTCTTGGACCCTTATGTGACAACGTTTCTGTCTGTCTTGGACCCCTTATGTAACAACGTTTCTGTCTGTCTTGGACCCTTATGTGACAACGTTTCTGTCTGTCTTGGACCCCTTATGTAACAACGTTTCTGTCTGTCTTGGACCCTTATGTGACAACGTTTCTGTCTGTCTTGGACCCTTATGTAACAACGTTTCTGTCTGTCTTGGACCCCTTATGTAACAACGTTTCTGTCTGTCTTGGACCCTTATGTGACAACGTTTCTGTCTGTCTTGGACCCCTTATGTAACAACGTTTCTGTCTGTCTTGGACCCTTATGTGACAACGTTTCTGTCTGTCTTGGACCCCTTATGTAACAACGTTTCTGTCTGTCTTGGACCCTTATGTGACAACGTTTCTGTCTGTCTTGGACCCTTATGTGACAACGTTTCTGTCTGTCTTGGACCCTTATGTGACAACGTTTCTGTCTGTCTTGGACCCTTATGTAACAACGTTTCGGTCTGTCTTGGACCCTTATGTAACAACGTTTCGGTCTGTCTTGACCCTTATGTAACAACGTTTCGGTCTGTCTTGACCCTTATGTGACAACGTTTCTGTCTGTCTTGGACCCTTATGTGACAACGTTTCTGTCTGTCTTGGACCCTTATGTGACAACGTTTCTGTCTGTCTTGGACCCTTATGTGACAACGTTTCGGTCTGTCTTGGACCCTTATGTGACAACGTTTCTGTCTGTCTTGGACCCTTATGTAACAACGTTTCGGTCTGTCTTGGACCCTTATGTGACAACGTTTCGGTCTGTCTTGGACCCTTATGTAACAACGTGTCGGTCTGTTTTGGACCCTTATGTGACAACGTTTCTGTCTGTCTTGGACTCCTTATGTAACAACGTTTCTGTCTGTCTTGGACCCTTATGTAACAACGTTTCGGTCTGTCTTGGACCCTTATGTGACAACGTTTCGGTCTGTCTTGGACCCTTATGTAACAACGTTTCGGTCTGTATTTGACCCTTATGTGACATCGTTTCGGTCTGTCTTGACCCTTATGTGACAACGTTTCGGTCTGTCTTGGACCTTTATGTGACAACGTTTCGGTCTGTCTTGGACCCCCTAGCAAATCCTAAATTGACTCGACGGGCCGAAACGTCATTACGTAGCATTCGTATGTTTATAGGGCTCGGTTATTTATATATCGTAGTATATGGCGCACCCGGCTGTTCCCGGGTCTTTCTCCTTCCTCCCCCTTCCCCTGTCTACCTTTCCAGCCCCCTCTCATCTCATCCCATTCCCCCCCCCCTCTCTCTCTCTCTCTCTCTCTCTCTCTCTCTCTCTCTCTCTCTCTCTCTCTCTCTCTCTCTCCTCTCTCTCCTCTCCCTCCCTCTCACTCTCCCTCTCCCTCTCCCTCTCTCTCCTCTCTCTCTCTCTCTCTCTCTCTCTCTCTCTCTCTCTCTCTCTCCCTCTCCTCTCTCTCTCTCTCTCTCTCTCTCTCTCTCTCTCTCTCTCTCTCTCTCTCTCTCTCTCTCTCTCTCTCTCTCTCTCTCTCTCTCTCTCTCTCTCTCTCTCTCTCCCCTTCCTCATTTTGGAAAATATATTAATATGAATCATCGAAAAAATGGATAAAAGTCTACGGAAACCATCCCATATTTCAGATTTAAGGAAACTCGCAGAGGTCGCAATGGACACCTAATTCACCCTTGACGACGAGCGTACGTCTGGACACCTCCTCCGCCCAGCAGCCGCCGGATCACGTTCTGTTTTCGCGATTTAGGGTTTGATACTGCCGGTGGCATCCCTATTCAACGGTCCGATTTGTACGACGCTTGGCGCACATATCGCCTTGGGTCGCGGGATTGTTGATAGATTTTGAACGTTTTCTTGCTGCTTCTCCGGTGATGGGTGACGGTGTCCGGCGCCGGCTTGGCCGAGAGGTGCCGGGAGTTGGTGGGTGTTGATGGGCTCCTGGTGTGGCCTCAGCCGTGGTGGGCTCCTGGTGTGGCCTCAGCCGTGGTGGGCTCCTGGTGTGGCCTCAGCCGTGGTGGGCTCCTGGTGTGGCCTCAGCCGTGGTGGGCGGCTGGCTTCTGATCTGCCAGAGGGGGGCACTGGATGACATTTTCCATTTTAGTTGGGGGTCGAGTGTTTGGTTTTGCTACCCGGTGTTCTCTGCGTGGGGCGGGGTCGGTGCTCGTCGCCCTGAGGGACTCCTGGGGCTCCCCAATCATCTGCCTGTCATTCGGTTTAGCGATTTACCTATATGAGTCCGCCGGGGCGCATCCGAACCCACGATCGTAGTCGCCCCTAAATCAACAACAACAAGAAGTAGAGAGGTCGCAATAGATGTGAGGTTTAAGAAACGGTGGCACAGAGGGCAACCCCGACTAGCCTAGGACACTTGCATACCATCCATGCATCATCTTGGAGATTATCTAGCCCATTCACTTGGGCTAGATGGAAGAGCGACGGTCTCGCGTCGAATAAGTCTGCGTTCAACCACCGACCGTCCAAGTGGTTGGGCATCATTGCTCCCCCCCCCCCTCGTCCCATTCCCAAATCCTTATCTTAATCCCATTCGAGTGTTATATAGTCGTACTGACTTGGCGTTTTCTGCTGATAGTTCCCATCTTGGAGAGGTGAGGGAGGGTAGCCCCAAGCGACTGTCCTGACCTTGTCCTACCTAAAAAAGTCTGTCTGACACGCGCATTCTATTTTATATAGATGTAATTTACGCTGACTTAAATTATAAGAATATCTTTTGTTAATTTCAGGTAAGTTGTCCGGACCCTCCCGGTGACGCAGAGGCGTCGGTGAGTAACCCAATTATTGTTGTTGTTCTCTGGCATGAAGCAGCGGGGCGAGGAGGTAAGCTTCCAGCTCGTCCTGGACATACGAGGCAGCAGATGCCCCCGAGTTGAGAGCCTGTATGGGATCAGGGCTCCAGGGCTCCAGGGCTCCAGGGTGAGAGAGAGAGAGAGAGGGAGGGAGGGAGGCCCTTTATCCCCAGGTATGTGAGCTTGGGCGGGGATATTATCATTTTTGTCCTTCCAATATTATTTTCCCCATTGTTAATGTTTTGCTTTTTTCTATTGTATATTTTTTTCACGCGTATAGTACTAAGGTACATTAATGTGCAATCTAGATTCTAGAAGATGAGGCAGAGAGTTTTTTTTATATTTTTTTATATTTGATTATTTTCTACCATAGACGTGGCCACATATTTACAATGCTAACCAGCATATATACATTTTCTTCCGTTTTCCATGGACAGGGTTAGAGATGTGTTAAACATATAGTTCAGTGATTTATTGAAGGAGAGAGAGAGGTGTATGGCCAAGAATCCAAGTGAACTTAATTAGGATGTTGCAATGTGCTTGAATTTATATATTTTCTATTTCAGTTACTTAATTTCGTTCTTTTGTTTTATTGGTAAGTGTGGCTGATATATCTCCAAGCTTCCCCATCCTGGCGGAGATGTCTTCCTCCTCTTCCATCTTCTCCGGAGATGTCTTCCTCCTCTCCCATCTTCTTCGGAGATGTCTTCTCTCCCATCCTGCTCAGAGAACTCCCCCCCCCCTCTCCCTTATGAACCCCCTCCCCTGCACGGAGTATTTGCCTGGCAGGTTCCACAGGATAGATGGGAAGGGAAGAGGAGAGACGGTTATGGGAGAGAGGAAGGGAACAATGAGACAGTTACGTTACTTTTGTTAGACTGACGTCCATACTATGCAAATCCCCTGCCGTTACTCGCCAAACTTAGCAGTTACTGACCAAATTGGCGGTGTTATCTCGCTATCGACTCAAATGCCTCTCTCTCCCTTACTCCTCTCCCTCTTCCTTCCCCCTTCCCCTCCCCCTCTCCCTTCCCCCTCTCCTTCCTCTCACTTTCCCCTTTCCCTTCCTCTCCCGAAAAGCTGTTCGGGTTCCGTAAAAACTTGGGTATGAAAAGTTTGGTGTGACCACGCGACTCGTGTCCGTTTCAAGCGGGCTTGGTAAGTTACCAGAAAACACAAAACGTTTTTTAAACATTAGTACAAATAATTACAAACTGCGAATATAACTTCGTAGAAATATTTCTCGAGACGTTGAAATGGAGATGGAAGAAGTACACTATGTAAT